GTGCTGTTAAATGTACTCACCCTCAGGCCTTCTTAAATGTAGATTTCCTCAGTACAACAATGAAGCTTTTCAGTAATAACTGGTGATTCATAAAATGTCAAAGTTTGGCTACAAACAAACAAACAAAAAAAAACCCCAAAAAATATTGTTTTTTTGCTTCTGGCGATACATTGAGGTCGTATGGCCTTAAACAGAACTCCAAAGATGAAAACGAGACTTATCTGCAATCACCGCATATTGCTGAACTAATCTTACTAAAAGCACTCCAGTCAGCCACACATACCAAGTATAGTTAGCTGCAGCTTGCACACCTCTAAGTGGGAGGAAGTTATGCCACAAGTAAATAGACGTTCATAAAAATAAAAATAAAAAAGTTATTATGAGGTTGGGTTTAGGGTTGGTGGAAAGTTTGGATCAGGAGTGTCTAAACTCTGTCCTGGATGGTTGGTGTCATGGAGAGTTTAGCTCCTACCCTAATCAAACACACCTGGATCAGCTAATCAAACTCGATTGAGTCCTTCGGGCTTGTTTACAGTGTATTGAAGCAGGGTCGGAACTAAACTGTGCAGGCCAGTGGACCTCCAGGAACTCCAGGAATACTAGCTGTACTAGAACAGTGGTGCCCTAACTGAGTCCTGAAGAGGCAGTGTGCTGGCTGCAAAGTTTAGTTCCAACCCCAATCAGGCACACCTGGGTTAGCCTTGGCTCCATCTAAAATCAACTGCTACTCCGTAGGTAGGGGAGAATGGGAGCCATTTTTTACATTTCCTCCTCTCTAAGCGAGCTGAAATTATAAATCAGTAAAAATTGAACACTTCTCATTAGTTCAGAATGTTTCCTGGCAATGGAATTTATCAGACTGTATTTAGGATAAAGGTCCGTGAAAATATGATTGTTTTAAAAAATAAAGTGGTCTTGTTTCACTTTACCGCAGCTTAGGGGTAAACTGAGACAGGCCAGAGAAATCAAAGGGGTAAAGTGAACCACTTACTATTTCCATTTTAAAACTACCATAACAAAACATGTTGTAAGAGCTTGAATCCTTGACAACCACACATTTTAGATTGGGGATTGGTCAATTAAGCACATTTTTACTTTACATGAAAGTAACTGAACAAATTCAAATACAACAATCTAATTCAACTATTCAAGTTTACATTTTAATGACAGATAGAACCACTTAGATAAGAACACAATCCAATTCTTTGTGTGTCTTTACACACTTTCATTTGGATTGTGTTCTGGGGAGGAAACATTTGAGAAGTGGTAGCATTTCTTGAGGACACATATCCAGGTTGGCTGGAAACACATGGCACATCCATGTAGACGATGCGTAGTGAATGGATTAGCATCAGTGAGTGAATTATCTACAAGTGGATCATCTGGAGAGGGTGGACCATCCAAATATTCTGTTGTGACAAGCTGGAGCTTAGGATTTGGCCAGTCTGACACCATGAATAGTGAAAATGCTTTATCAAGGAAAAATGTATTGTTTATATGGAAAAATTCCAGTGAACCTAAATCCAGAAGTGATGTTGTGTGGCGTTACTGCTAACATACAGTAAAGGCCTCATTCACAAGTCTTACAGTCTGCCTTATTTCTCACTTTACCCCATTGCCACATTTTAGAAAAAAAAAATCAGGCTAATCTTCAGAATGCAGCATCACATGGCTTTTTATGTTGAAAGTTCATCAACATGTATGATATAAGTTTTTCTACTAGAATCAATTTGCTTTGGCACAACAGTTGATTAAGTTGACAGCAAGATAAATTAATTTTACCAGCAAAAAATACATTTTTGTGAAGAAAAAAAAACTTTCTACAGCACCATGAATTCCTGTCCTTCATGGTAGAGGGGAAATGGAATCTGCTTGAAAACAAAATTGTTATCGAGGAGTATATAAAATCTGTTGCCAAGATACAGGGGGTGTCTCACATTAACCCATTCCCACTACTGCATTTGAATTTAAATGTATAACTCTGCCATTGGAAAAGTACTTTCTATACAGTATGAATGTGGGCAATTTGAATGGAACTCAGACGTACTACATCATTTTTTCATGATCACATGACCTTCCAGCGTCAGTTTCGTCGCCTTATGATTCTCTCATGGAGCATCATGGGCTAGTGTACCGTGCATTGGATGCACACTTTAGAATCTCACTGGAAGTATCAAGTCATCCAGGTCATCCATCTCGCACTCTGTTTTTCGGACTCTATAAATTTGGAAATACTACTTGGCTCACATACTGTTTTTAGCATACTATATAGTATGGAAGTATGCAACTTCGGAAGCAGCCATCCTTGCAGGTGTGTTGAGGCAAGTTGGAGCTAAAATCTGCAGGACACCTGCCCTCCTATCGACCCCTGGTGTAGACTTAATAAAACATAATAGGTTACTTTGAGGTTTGGTTCAGGGTAGTGGTTGATGTAGACCAAGGATGACCAAACTTGGTCCAGGAGGGCCAGAGTCCTCCAGATTTTAGCTCCAACTTGCTTCAACACACCTGCAAGGATGTTTCTTGAATGCCTAGTAAGAGCTTGATTAGCAAGCCCAGGTATGTCTGATTGGGGTTGGAACTAAACTTTGCAGGACTCCGGCCTTCCAGGACCGAGACTGAACATCCCTGGTGTAGACCATGGGTCCACAACTCTGTTCCTAGAGATCTACCTTCCTGAGGAGTTCAGCTGCAATCTTGATCAAACACACCTCTCTGTAATTACGGAGTGCTCCTTCAGATCCTAGGCTGCGATCCAGTTACTTTTAGAAACACACTCGCCATTTTGAAGTGTGTTCCACTTCATTAGGTGAACCATACATACCCTGATTTTGACTGTCAGAGGGTAGTTGGCGAGTGAAGGGCAATTGGACTGGAATGCAGCCTTAGATGGTCGAGATGTGCCTGATCAGTGTTGCAGCTAAACTCTGCAGCAAATGTCTGAAATGTCTCTGCCGGGTTGAGCAACCCTAGTGTAGAGGTTAATAAAACACAATAGTTTGGACTCAATGTCATGTACAAGACATTAAATAAATCAATGAAAACTGCAGGAAGTATGTACAGCCCACAAAAGAGTGCTCAAGTACCACCCATTTGCAGCTGGCTCTGACCTCCGTTTATACCCTTCTTGCACTTCCCTTAGTCTCAGGAGCATCTGTTATCAAGCTCAGGCTCACGTCATGATTTTGCCAAGTACGATGCGATCCTGGAACATAATTTTTGTCGAAAATGTAATCCATACCTATTTCTATGCCTAAACACAACCATAACTGTAAATTATTTCCAAAATCATAAGAGAATAATAGTTGGATAACAATCATGAAGAAGTGCATAAACTGCAAGCCTAAACTTAACATAAACGGTAAACATATCCCTTATTTCTTATTGGCATGTTGTTACAGGATCAACATAGATGTTAATCTAGGAACATGTCCAACTTGGTGAAATCAGTATGGTGGGCTCATTGTAGGGCTGCTCGATTTTGGGAAAAATCATAATCACGATTATTTTGGTCATACCTGTAATCACGATTATTTAAAACGGTTATCAGTTGAAGTCAAAATTATTAGTGCTCCTGAGAATTTTTATTTTTTATAAATAAATATTTCCCAAATGATGTTTAACAGAGCAAGGAATTTCAACAGTATTTCCTTTAATATTTTTTTCTTAGGCTTATTTGTTTTATTTTAGCTAGAATAAAAGCAGGTTTAAATATTTTGAAACCCATTTTTAGGTCAATTTTATTAGCCCCCTTAAGCAATATATTTTTTTAATTGTCTGCAGAAGAAACTACTGTTATACAATGACTTGCCTAATTACTCTAATTAAGCCTTTGAATTGCACTTTAATCTGAATGCTTGTATTTTCAAAAAATATCTAGTAAAATATTATGTACTTTCATCATAGCAAAGATAAAAGAAATCAGTAATTAGAAATGACATATCAAAACTATTATTTTCATAAATATGTAAAATAAATAAATAAAAAAACTTTCCATTTAAACAGAAATTGGGCAGTAAAAGGGTTGCTAATATTCAGGAGGGCTAATAATTCTGACTTCAGCTGTATATGTAGTTATTTTCCACCCTGCAAAGAAAAGAATAAAAAAATATAATACAAACTGTGATTTAAGCATCTTCACTGTCAGAAAAACACTTTAGCTACAAAAATTCTTCAGTCAAGAACAGGGATTTTCTCGTTTTGTTTGATTAATGATAAAAACAGGCGGCAGCAAAATTATTTCTCGCTGTCTCTTTAATGGTTTCTCTTTCACGTGTCTTTTGATCCTCAACTTGTTTGTTTATTACACGAATGAGGGTTAACATGAATAATCACTAAACATTGTGTTTTGACACCTATTTGACCATTAAAGCGCTCACGTTACGATGACTTTAGATGTCTGCGCTCCTCTGCTAATCTCGGTGTGCGAATGAGAGTGAATGCTGACCGGCCGCATGTTCTGATTTTGTGTGCGTGCCGCACACATGCATAAGCACGCGGTCTTTTCCGCTTTTAAGAGCAACAACAGTGTACAGCTGGAAAGGGGGCAGTATATGATGCAATAATCGTTTATCTCGATTAATGGTTTTTCATAATCATTTGAAGCCAAAATCGAAATCGGATATTGGATTAATTGCACAGCCCTAGCTCATTGCATGAGAGTAAGCCACACCCACTTATTTGCAAGTTGTGGTGTACACAGAATTTAAAATAAATAAACAAAATTCGACTGACAAATACTTCTGCAGTAATTCACACAGAAGATTTCATTCATATGAAGACGTGTGACTTTTTTAAAGAAGGCATGCCCCCAAACCCCACCCCTCAATGGGGGATGAGCAAATCGTACTAAAATGTATGAACGAGATCATACAAATTTTTAATAAATCAAGAAGTTGTGAATTTCCATGACATTTTGTTGGCCACCACCCCATTTGCAACACTAGAATATATCAACACAGCCCTTCACATTTTTCAGATGATATCAACAGAAAGGTTTATCTTTTATTAGTAGCAAATTTATTGAAAAAGAAAAACACAATCAGTAAGATTGTGCATCATGTTTCACTGTCAAGAAATATGTTACAGTTTTTTTTTCTTTTTCCTCCCCTTTCATTTTGCAGTGTATTGTATCTCTATGTCTGGGTTTGCACGAAGAACATGACTACACTATCAACATTTAAAAGACCGTAATAGTTTCACCATCAACATGGACTCATGGAACAAAACTGGTACAAGCTAAATATGTCAAAACTACAGTTAGAAAAAAAAAATCAGAGGTCAATTTAAAAATACAAATGAAAAACGAAAAAAAAGCATCTTCATATTTTACAACTTGTATTCACTTAGTGAGTAATAAAAAAATAAACAAAAACCTTTTTTTTCAGCACCATTTGCGTTTTCCTACACCGACCGCATTTCATTCCAGTCCTATTCCTAAAGCACGTTTCATAAAAGCATGCTAATAGGCTCCGTCGCTGTGATCGAAAGTACGCACAGAAAATATTTGACAGTTTTCATTTGCATTGATGGGGGATGCACATCATTTGCATTAAACAGAAGCCATGTGTATCCAGGCCTGTAACATGCAGGAAATAACCCATAGGGCTTGTTTTCACACACAGATTAAGCCTAGTCCAGGATTGCTTTGCACTTCCAGTGGCGATTCACCATTAAAGCGCATTTTTACTCAAGAACCGGGCTTTTACCAGGAAGAAATAGGCCAAAAAGTGTCCCATTCAGAGGCCATTTCATGATTTCGGTAGCTCTGGCATGACGTCCTGCGTCTGTGAACCAATCAAAGGAGGAAGCGCACAACGTTCGCGCTAAAATCCCATGATTGCTAGCCTCAGCCTACTGAAAGAACCAGAAAAAACTGTAAGGGGGAAAATTTGGTCTTTGAAAATTACAATTTTATGCAAATGCACAAAAACTAAGAACAGACTAAACATAAAACAAAGATGCGTCAAGAGTTAAATCATTATGTCCAAACTCGTTTGGGAGTTTTTTGAGCTTTCGTTCACCTCAACTGTTTATAAAATCGTTTATGAGAATGACTGAGAACACGGTTTGAGGGCAGGAGAACACATTGTGACGTCTGAATTGTGCGACGAAATTACGTCAAGTGCCACACAGTCTCTTAATTGGCTCAAACAGCCTCATTCTTAAGAAGAAAAAAACAAAAATCCTCTTTACAAGATGCATCGTGGTCCAAAATGGGCAGGCTGACAATAAAAAACAAAAAAATCCATACAAAATGTGCATTCAGAACACTCCAAACACCAGTCCAATCGTGCACCTCTCACCTTCAAGATTTGAAACCCCTAAACCATACCAAACAATAGGCTTTCGGACCACCAGAGCGAAATGTGGCACTGTGGGTGTAGCATCAAGTGGCTACCCAGAGATGGCAGAGATGTGCCCGTGCTGGTGAAGGGAGGTGCAGGCTGGCAAAGGTGACAAACATGGTTGTGAGAAGGCTTAGCTGGGGCTGGATGGGGTGGATGAGCTGGTATCGGGTAGGGCGCTGGGCTGCTGGTCACCTGGTGTACTGTCTGCCTGTGTCTGGGCGATGGCAGCTGCAGAGTGCTTGCATTTGGATGAGCCACACTTGCAGTTGAACAGCTTCCCCTTTACGTCCCAGAAGTGATCGCCATAGTCAAACCTGGGAAGGGACAAAAATCAAAAACTATATATTCCAATACAAATAAACGTTTTCTTTTAGGCACTAATATTCTTCAAAGAACGAGCTGGTGATGTATGCTTTAGAAGAAAATTATGCCAAAATGAACTAAATTATTTGCAATTCACTTGCATTAAGTAAAAGCAGCCATAGACTATTACTTAAAACCTAACTTGCATTCAAATACACATATATTTGTGCAAAAGAACATTGCACTATCAATAGCTGTATTTTGTACTTCAAAATAGACATCATTTGCTATCTTTGGCTTCTTTTTGTATTTCTTTTCAGTTTTTTTTTTGTCTTAAACAAAATCTTTTTTTTTATTTTGCTTATTAAAACATTATTTTGCTTATTGAGAAAATACAGCAAGCTATTTTATTTATATTTATGGTTTTCTCCAGTGCATTGATTAACATGGTCTGCTTACAGCCTAAAAACAATCAGTGCAATAATAAATGCTGAAGGGTAAAACATCAATCGCCCACCTGCCCCCCATTCCATATTGCATGCTCATTTATTAAAAAAAACTCCTCCTACTACAACATCTACAACTACATCTACAATTACAACAATAACTCTTACAACAACAACAACAACTACTACTACTACTACTACAACAACTACTACTACTACTACTACGACTACTACAACTACTACTACTACAGCTACTACAACATCTACTACTATGACTACTACAACAACTATAACTACTACTACAACAACAACATTTACTACTACTACTACTACCACTAATACAACAACTGCTACTACAACAACAACAATTATCACTACTGTAACAACTACTACAACAACAACTACTGTTACAACTACTACAACAACTGCTATTACGACAACTACAGCAACTACTACAACTACTACTACTACAACAACATTTACTACTACTACTACTACCACTAATACAACAACTGCTACTACATCTACTACTATGACTACTACCCCTACAAGAATAACTATTACAACTACAACAACAACTACTACTACTACAGCTACTACAACATCTACTACAACAACTACTATTTCTATTACAACTTCAACTACTACAACATCTATAACTACTACAACAACAACAACAACAACATATACTGTTACAACTACTACAACTGCTATTACAACTACTACAACAACTACTACAACTACTACTACAATACAACAACTGTTACAACTACGAAAACAACTACGAAAACAACTACTACATCTACTACTACGACTACTACAACAACAACAACAATCACAACTATAACAACTACTACAACAACAACTACTGTTACAACTACTACAACAACTGCTATTACGACAACTACAGCAACTACTACAACTACTACTACTACAACAACAAACTATTACAACTACAGCTACCACTACAACATCAACAACTACTACTACTACAACAACATCAACTACTACAACAACATCAACTACTACTAAAACAACAACAACAACTTCTACTACTACTACTACTACTAATAATAATAATAATAAAAATAATAATTATAATAACAACAACAACAACAATCTAATATTGGGGTTTTTAAGCTGCTTTCTTTTTTTGTCATTGCAAAAGACTATGCTAGCAAAATATATTTGAGTAAATGTGAAATTTTTTTTTAATAATTTGGATTGGGATGATTAAAAAATATATATACACATGAGAGACTGTCTCAGGATGAAAAAGTAAGCATATTAAGGCCTATAAGTACAAGATAACTAGAAAACCCTAACCCATACTGTGAAGCAAAATTCACATTCAGTTAGCAAGTAAATAGACAATGATGTAAATCAGACCCAAGTTCATCTCCGGCACTGATGTTCTTGCAGGCGAAGAATGCGATGTGAGGAAATCGGAGGTCCTGGTGAGAGGTGAACACCCGACAGGGGAGCAGATTGGGCTCACAGTGATGGTTTATGAACCGGCTGATGTTCCCGTAGAAACGAGCATCAACGCAGTACATGTCACCCACCTGCGACAGAAAATAAATTGAGATTGTGTTTGCCAAGGGATGTCAGAGAATGAAATATGAGATTTATTTAGAAAGGTTTAATAAAGCAGGGTTTAAGAAATGTAATATAATTAAGAAAAACTGTTTGAATTGTGTTTTTATCTAGAAAAATGTGTGTATGGTTGGTATTTATAACTGTCTAAAGGGGAAAGTTCACACAAAAATTAAATTTAACTCACGCTTGTGTTTCCAAAACTTTTTGGATTTTTTTGCTGTTAAACACAAAAGAAGATATTCTGAAGAATGTTAGAAACTGGTGACCATTGACTTCCATAAGAAGAAAGACAAATACTATGAAAGTCAGTGGTTTCCAACATTTTTCAAACTAACTTCTTTTATAAATAAAAAAACAAAAGAAAAAAAAATCTCAAATCGATTTATGACAAATGAGGGTAGCGTAAATGATGACCGAATACTCAGTTTTGGGTGAACTGTCCCTTTAATGTTTCATATGCTTACTTTTATTTGACCAAAAATACAACAATACTGTGAAATTTCCATACAATATGCTTCTAAATATGTTTTTTTCTAATTATAAGTTCAGTCTCCAGTGCTACATGCTCCTTCAGAAAGAATTCTAAAATGCTGATTAATATCTACTGACCTGCTAATATGCTCAACGCGTATTTTGTTTGAAAACATCCTTGTTAAATATCATTATTTCTTTCTTTAAGTGATTCTGAGATGTATATGTAATGGAGGCCAGCTAGCAAAGTGCTATGCAGGTAAACCTCACTCCTCTAACCTCTCAAAGTGCTCTAGCAACAGATGCTATAGGTCATGGTCTTTAGCCTCCTTGTTAGAGCAACCGATTCCCATGTATAGTATTGCTGGTTTGATCCCAGCTCAGAGCGAGTTGGGTGCAGAGAACCGGTGGGTTACATTTGGGGGCTCGTCCGGGATGAAAGTAAGGTTTAGTGGTAAGTGTAACGGAGGCCAGCTAGCGAAGTGCTATGCAGGTAAACCTCACTCCTATGACCTCAAAAGGCGCTCAAGAGACAGATGCTAGAGGCCACAGTCTTTAGCCTCCTTGTTAGAGTAACCGACTTCCATGCATAGAATCGCCAGTTCGATCTCAGCTCAGAATGGGTTGGGTGAAGTAGGACCAGTGGGTTATACGTGGGGGCTCATCCAGGATGGAAGTGAGGTTTAGGGGGTGTAACGAAGACAAGCTAGCGAAGTGCTATGCAGGTAAACCTCACTCCTCTAACCTTAAAAGGTGCTCTAGCAACAGATGTTAGAGGCCATGGTCTTTAGCCTCCATGTTAGAGCAACTGACTCCCATGCATAAATTTGCCGGTTCGATCCTAGCTCAGAGCGGGCTGGAAAAATTTGTCTGGTGGGTTACATGTTGGGGCTTGTCCGGGATGTGAGTGATGTTTAGGGTCTGAGTGTAACAGAGGCCAGCCAGCGAAGTGCTATGCAGGTAAACCTCACTCGTCTGATCTCTAAAGGTGCTCTAGCAACAGACGCTAAAGGCCACGGTCTTTAGCCTCCTTGTTATAGCAACCGACTCCCATGCAAATAATCACCAGTTCAATCCCAGCTCAGAATGGGTTGGGTGCAGTAGGACCAGAGAGTTACATGTGGAGGCTCGTCCAGGATGGAAGTGAGGTTTAGGGTGTGTAACGGAGGCAACCTAGCAAAGTGTTATCCCGGTAAACCTCAGTCCTCTGACCTCTAAAGGTGCTATAGATGCTAGAGGCCATGGTCTTTAGCCTCCTTGTTAGAGCAACCGACTCCCATGCAAATAATCGCCGGTTCGATCCCAGCTCAGAACGGGTTGGGTGCAGTAGGACAGGTGGATTGCTTGTGTGGGGGCTCGTCCGGGATGAGAGTGAGCGTAATGAAGGCCATCTAGCAAAGTGCTAAGCAGGTAAACCTCACACCTCGAACCTCAAAAGGTGCTCTAGCTACAGATGCAAGAGGCTATGATCTTCAGCCTCCTTTTTAGAGCAACCAACTCCCATAGAAAGAATAGCTGGTTCGATCCCAGCTCAGCACAGGTTGAACGCAATACAACCCAAAGATAAAAGAAATCAGGTATTAGTAGATAGTTATTAAAACTATTATGTTTAGTAATGTGTTAAGATTTTTTTTTCCGTCAAGCAGAAATTGGGAAACCAAAAAGATAAAGAGGGGCTAATAATTCTAGAGGGTTAATAATTCTGACTTCAACTGTACATGAAACTTAATGCATGGTAATCAATCAACATCACAATTTTTTTTTTTAAGTGGTTGTGCAACCCAGCTTGTATCCCTTTATCAACTGTCAATGTAAGACTACTGAAGTGCAAGTATCAAAAGTATCATGCTATTATGAAATAAAGCATTTCTTTGAGCTGACAGGGGTCAGTTAAAGGATATGCACAACATTTGCTTGAGGGCATGCAGATAATCCAGCACTGAGAGAGCAGACAGCAGGGGTAATGTGATTTTGAAAGGGAGGACGGCGATACCTTGCTGTCCAGACTGAAAAGATAGGAGTCATTCTCTCTGACATCTGCTTCGGCGTCAGAGATGATCTCACCCACGTATCTGTTGCAAGGAAATGAGACATTAGGATGCAAACACACTAAACCCACAATCATATCCATACTGGCACACTTAAATAAACACAGGAAGTCTGACACACACGCACAGGAAGATATACATATGAACATAATAAAGCTCAGAAGCAAGCAAATAAGAAACTCACTCGCAAACAAATGTTCCTTGAGGGATATCCTGTAATGTCTTGACACCCCATCCCATCATCTGTGTCTTGAACAACTGCAGTCTTGTCCTAAAAGATTATGATAATAAAAACAATCATTAATTAAAGTATTTAATCAGTAGGCCATAGTTGATTTATCAATTTGTTTTCCATTGTTTACATTTAAAGTTACAAATTTACCAAATATGAATTTCAGAATGATGTTTTAATGGTGAGAGTGATGAAAACATTTTAAATATAATGTTTTACAAAGAGATGCCAAAATCAAGACTAAAGCCCAGGTCAGATCACATGATTTTATCATAATTTTGGCACGATTTCCTTGACATAGGGCAGGGGTGGCCAACCCTGTGCCTGAAGAGCCACCTTCCTGCAGATTTCAGTTGCAACCCATATCAAACACACCTGCCTGTAATTAGCAAGTGGTGTTCAGGTCCTAATTAATCGGTTCAAGTGTGTTTGATATGGGTAGCAACTGAAATCTGCAGGAAGGTGGCTCTCCAGGAACAGGGTTGCCACCCCTGACATAGTGTGTCATGGGGAGGCTTAAACAACAAATGGGCATATTGAGGTAATCTGGGAACACATTCAGTGCTACAAATACATTGTAAAATCCTAACCAAATTACTTTATTAAACTAATTAAATTAAAACTGACCGACAATACATGATTTTGTCATCAACAATGAAATCAGTTTAATATAGGTTTCTCTGAAACTGTGATCATTTCACTTTATTATTATTTAGGCTATATTTTATTTTATTTAACAAAAAAGGTTTGTGCTTTAGCGCTAAAGCATATAGCGGATTGGTTTTGAATCTCTTCACCTGAGACGTTATTAGTTATTGTTGTTCATCTCAAATCAAATTAAATCACTTTTATAGTCACATCAGCAGCAGCACGTGTGCTATATGATGAGTGAAAAGCTTAGTTATCTAGTGGATAACTGACCAAAAAATACATTAATACATCACAATTAAGATACAAATTTTACAGAGCAAAATTTGTGTCAAAAAGATAATTTTTTAAAAGTTTAGAAGCTTTATTTACATTTAATATATTCTAAGTATAAAAATGGTTTTAATATTTGACATATGGCTTTGATCCATAAATCCACAACCTAATGATCTAGCACCTGCCTAAAAATCCTGGACGAAAAATTGGTTTAAACCAACTCACATCGTTTATGTTCAAATGGTTTAATAATAAGTGAACCTCTCATTGCTTGATATATTTTATTAACTACAGGTCATACTAAGTATGTTGTTTAAACAAAAATATCAGTTACACAATGTCAGTGGAGAATTATTTTATCCACACCCTGATGCTTAATTTTCACAGCAGTTATTTAAAATAATAAAGTACACTGAAAATAAATTTTCAAAGATGATTCCTTGGATTTACTATTTTTTTACATTAAGTGGTTGTAAACAATTTATTTGGGCTGAATTTAAACAAACAAATTAAGTTGAACATTATCAAATTTAATTTGTTTGCTTAAATCAACACAAATAAATTGTTTGCAACAGTTCTGCATAAAACTTTTTTTAGTGTAGAAACTTTATTTACATTTAATATATTCCAAGTATACATAAATGGCTTTAATATTTGACATATGGCTTTTATTCATACATCTACAATCTACTGATCTACCACCTGCCTAAAAATCTTGGCCTCACACCGTTAAATTGTTTAACCCAACAGCTGCTGAAAATCTTAAGTGAACCTGACTTACCTCAGTCCGTTCTGTACCACACGGTTTTTGCAGGTTCTCCAGCAGGAGCAGGCATGGTTGCACTCAAATATAAGAGGCGGCTCCTCATTACTGAACTCAGGCAGCAGACGACTCTCCTGTTGCCACAAACAAAAAACATTTCTACTCACACACCAAAACATCACATGGATTGGATGTTTTTTATGTTACTGGTCATTATAAATGAAAAGCAAAAAGAATGTCTCCATTTAGTATGGTCCATATTAAATGCCTCTTTTTATTTAGATTTTACTGCTTAAAAATATGTTAAAAATTGTTTCCAGTACTTTAACACTTAAATCAAAGTATGGGCAAAGTAACAGTCATTTTTGATATATCACCAACTACAATTCTGACTCGATTTTCTTACACGGTGTTGTAGTAAGCTTCTTCTACCTCTAGGTGGAAATGTTTTCAAGTCAATAAGATTAACAGTTTTTTTTAAAACTTGTAATTAGACGAGACACCGCAGATGAATAGAGTAAAAAAAGAAAAGAAAATTCCCTACACTTTGCAGTTTTTAGTATTATACACACACACACACACACACACACACACACACACACACACACACACACACACAGTTGAAGACAAAATTATTAGCCCCCTTTTTATTTTTTTTTTCCCCCAATGGAGAAATTTATTTCATCACATTTCTAAACTTCATAGTTTTAATAACTCATCTCTATAAATAAATGGCAAAATCAGGTGCATACATTTTTTTCCAACAGCAATCTCACCTTAAATCTAACTTAGCCCAAAAACGACTCAAATATTAAATACCTATAAAATAATATGCAGTGCTGAGGATTTTCCCCTCAGCATCCAATGTTTATGTTTAGCCGTTTCGTTTTAAAAGGGAATGAAAAAAACCCTTCATCACCATAAACCTGAAATGACTGAACCCACACCTGAACCACTTAGAGGCTTTTACATCCCAACTCTTCATTTACAGTTAAAGTCAAAATTATTAGTAATATTTTTCTTTTTCAAATATTTCCCAAATGATGTTTAACAGAGCAAGGAAATTTTCACAGTTTTCCCTATAATATTTTTTTATTCTGGAGAAAGTCTTATTGTTCTATTTCAGCTAGAATAAAAGCAGTTTTTAACTATAATGTTTTTAAACCATTTTAAAGTTCAATATCATTTGCCCCCTTTAAGATATCTTTTTTTTTTTTTGGATTGTCAACAGTACAAATCATTATTATACAATCATTAGCTAATTACCCTAACTTACCCAATTAACTTAGTTAAACCTTTAAATTGCACTTTAAGGTGAACACTAGTGTCTTGAAAAATATCAAGTCAAATACAGTCAAAATATAATTTACTATCATCATGGCAAAGATAAAATAAATCAGTTATTAGAAAGGAGTTAGAAAACTATTATGAAATGTGTTGAAAAAATGTTCTCGTTAAACAGAAATTGCAGGGGAAAATATACAGTGGAACAATGATTCTGACTTCAACTACATAACAAATTGCATCAAAACTGTAAAGCACACTGCTTGGATTTCAAGCTCTCTGAAGTGTTATGAAATGGACTTACTTTATCATACCAGCATCTCAGGCTTAGTTGGCCACACATGCAGCTTGCAGAAGAGCAATCGTCTTTACAGACACAGTACTGTGAAGTGAAAACAACATTATATGATCTTTCTCCTTTACTCATAGTATTATTAGTAGCTCCACACTACAGTGAGATTTACCTGCAAGTGAGTGATATTTTTGTCAATGTTCAGAGGGGACGTCACACAGCTATCAGGGACATACTTGTAGTTGTCAGGACAGGGTTCGCTGTCCACTGCATTTACGCACGGGACGGGGACTTTTTCGTAACCTCTAGCGATGTCCCTGAACACAATTACACAGTCATTTATAGGCTTAGTTCCGGTGTAGATAAACATATGTCAGTAATGCGAGCTGGAGGACTGTGAGATGTGAAGGAAGTGGACGTACTTGTTGAGAAGCTTCTCTGTGGCGCCAGCTTTGCGGTTTGCTTCTCTCTGCTTTTTGTTGGCTTGAAGAGCATTCCAGACCTTCGAGCTATGGCTGCAGCACTCCATGGGCGTCTCTCCTTCTTTGTTTTTAAGGTTTACATCAGCACCACGAGACAAAAACAAGCTGCAAGGAGGCACGAGAGAGTCAAACATGACTGTTACGGAATCGCTAAATTACAATTTTAAACTACAACTAAAAACAAAATAATAATAATAATAATAATAATGATGATAATAATGATAATAATAATAATAATAATAATAATAATAATAATAATAATAATAATAATAATAATGAAAATAATAATGATAATAATAATAATTATTATTATTATTATCATTATTATTATAAATAACAGCAGCAACAATATTGTTATGATGTTAATGAATCTACTGTTAATGTTATTGTTTTTATATTACTATTATTATTATTATTATTATTATTATTAGTAATAGTAGTAGTAGTAGTAGTAGTAGTAGTAGTAGTAATAGTAGTAGTAGTAGTAGTAATAGTATACATTTAATTAATATTATAGTATAAATATAGTAATACAGTATTATTGTTGATTGAATGTATAATTAAATCTACTGCAACTTACTAATAATAATGATCATAAATACGAAGAAGAATAAGAAGAAAACAGCAACAACAATATTATTATTAGGGAAGCTCCGAATAATCAGCCAGAGATTGGTATTGGCTAATAATCACATTTCATGACTCGATCTGCAGTCGTTAATCTGGCCAATCTCTTGAACTGATCACAAGTGTTTATTTGTTTACAAGCAGAGGATATATAACAGCTAAAATCTTTTTACATGCAAGAACTGAAAGTTATGCATTTTCAACAATATTGCAAGTTCATTAAAAACAGGCTGGGAACATTAGGGGAGAGAAAAAAAAAAAAAAAAAAAATATATATATATATATATATATATATATATATATATATATATATATATATATATATATAAAATTTGAATATTTAATAATAACTTATCGTAATGCACTTATTGTAATAAACGTTTGAACAAAAAGTAGTTTATAGGCCTGTGTCCTTTTATTAAAGAAGTAATGGATTTATAGGTGTGCATCAAATATGCGCTTAAGGCATTATATGCAACAGCTTTCATTTCTTCTACTAAGGCAAGAAATCCACTTAAGTATCATACTTGGAGTGGGCTCAATAGCACAGTGGTTAGTGCGTCGACATACGTCAGGGCATCCCGAGTTCGAATCCCAGCTTGAGGACATTTCCCAACCCCACCCCTCTCTCTCTCTCTTTCGCTTCGCTTGCTGTCTCATTACTGTCCTATCTAATAAAGGCAAAAAGGCCAAAAATAAATCTTAAAAAAAAAAATTGTAATATACTTAGAGTGAAAATTAGATTTTTGCATTATAAAGATTAAAGCATCAGAATTGGTACCTCTTATTGGCTGATCACCATGACAAAGAATTGGTACTTTGTATCGGCTGCAAAAATCCTAATCAGAGCATCCCTAATTATTACGATTATGAATTTATTTAATGCTAATTACATTGTTTTTATATTATTATAATTAGCATACATTTAATAAAATATTATAATTGATTAAATATTTAATTAATATACTGCAACTTATTATAATTATTTTTGTTATTATTAATAGTAGTAGTAGTAGTAGTAGTAGTAGTAGTAATGATGATAATAATAATAATAATAATAATCATAATCATCATCATAATCATCATCATAATAATAATACACATTATTATTATTATTATTAATAATAATAATAATAATAATAATATTTATAAGAATAAATATGATATTAATATGCAATTGTTTTTTATTCTTAAGAACAAAATGGAACAAATACAATTATTTAATATATTTTAACAATCTTTAAATGTAAAATTTAATATATATAGTACAACTTATAAAGTTTATAATACATAAATATATACTGCATCAATTTCATTAAGAACGATTGGAGCTGGAGGCTAACAATAAAGGCTTACGCTCATCATTTCCTGGACAAATTTTATTATTGATTTGTTAACAGTGATTGGGTCCTGAATGTAATATTGCCACTGGAACAGATAGATTATTAGGTGTAGATTTTATTGTCCAGTATAAATCATTGTATTTGCAGACACAAATAAATAAGTATGACATTTTGTTATACAATAACAACTATTATTAGTAGGATTAGTAGCAGTTGCAGTAGTTACTGATAATATAGAATTTTACAGAGAAATGTTAATACTACAATCACCACCATCACCAAACTAACAAATTCTTAATGTTTTTACTGCAATGCACTGTTATTTCTATACCAGTTTGGAACAGAAAAGAACAGTGTGTGCATGCATGTGTGTCTGCATGTGTTCAGTCAAATTTTAATGTGCTGTGTACACTTTTCATTTTAATTCTGAGCTGGAAATAAAACGTACATTGATAAAACATGCCTGAACAAAATTATCTGGAAAATAAAATGTACGTCAATCCATCTATTCCACTGGCAATATTACATTCAGGACTCTAACCAATCAATGTAACTGCCTGCTAACAGATCAATAATAAAATTTGTCCAGGAAATGATGAGCGTAAGCCTTTATTGTTAGCGTCCAGCTCCAATAAATCTACATGACATTAATCCTGTCTCCAAAAAACTGCAGCTTTAAGCTGATTAGGATCTACACAAGCACCTGATTAGGACTGCAGTACATCGGATACGGGTGTAATCCTGCAGTACACTTATCTTCCAGGAGGATGGCTCAGACATTCTTAGGTTGTAAATAAGCCTTGGCACTAGACTGAAAGGATGCAGGCAAATCAATCTTGATTGATAAAACCTAGAGGAGGTTTACTCACTTTACACAGTCAAGCCGGCCCTCTCGCGACGCTATGTGCAACGGCGAGTCTCCGTGGATGTTCATGGTGTTGAGATCACACTTGGCAGTCAGAAAGATCTCGGCTATTTCCACGCAGCCAGAGAAAGCGGCCCAATGCAGACAGATATTCTCCTCCTAGAATGAAGATTGAGATTTGTAACAGATTTATGCATTTATTTTAATGCCATATCAGCTGCTCTGTCTATATCCAGTAGATGGTAACATTGGTAACAAATAGTCAGTTTATATTTTACAATAGTTACTGACTCCTAACAAACATGAATTATAGCAATTTTAACAGATCAAAACCTATGAAAGTACTGAAATTGTGACAGAAAGAATACTACAAAATATTGTTAAAATTCAGATTAATGTGCAATAATTGAGAAGCAGTACACACACCTTGTCTCGTATATTGATATCAGCCCCTTTGGAGAGCAAGAGTTTCACTTGGTCCACATGTTTGTACTCTGTGGCCCAAATCATGGCTGTCCAACCTCCATCATCCTGGGACAAATAAAATGCATTACATTAGAAATCTTGGTCTTTTGGACTCCAAGGCCTCCCATTGCCCACAATATTCAATGCGACTCTAACTTGAAGCAATATAGGATATACAATTTTTTTTTATGACAATTAATATGTGATTAAATATTTTAGAGATTTGAGTAACAAGGAAAATGCATATTTATTTTTATTTTTTTAAAGTGTATTTATTACCTTGTATGACTTGTAGTGTAGAAACAGCAATTTCAACCAACTGGTTACTAGAGAGCTACTGGTGTAGGAGCCATAAGTGTGGTAATATTGTTATATCATGTCTTTTCTAGGGTCTATGTTGATTGAATGTATTTTTTGTTCTATTGTCCGTCCTCCCCTAGTGGTGGATGCATGCATTTTAGTATGTCCTGTAGGTAGCCATCTTAAACAGAAAGTGATGTGGCAAAAGAGACATTTTTGACCTGCATAGCAGCACTTACAGCATGTCACTGTTTTGTCTTATTTAGAAGTATTTATGTTTTGTTACAATGAACTAGTCTTCATCAAAGAGTCTCTGCAGCACTGTCAATAATACTACTGAATCGGTTATAAACCAAATGGTGAAATGCCACTAAATTATAAAACAAATAAATAAATAAGCATTTGCTTACATATTAATGAAAATATTAAAACAAAAACTTTGAAATTAAATTATGATGAAGATATTTCTTTTTGATTGTTAAATGACATCTGTTAAGACTGCTGCTCACAAGAAAAACTCATTTCACGAGGTCTAAAACTTTATTTTAAAAAGTTTTAAAAATTTAACTTTAACAAAATTTAAATTTAAAAATTTAAATTTAACTTAAAAATTTATTCATTCATTCATTCTCCTTCAGCTTACTCCCTTTATTTATCAGAGGTCGCTAAAGCGGAATGAACCACCAACTATTCCAGCATACGTTCTACACAGCAGATGCCCTTCCAGCCGCAACCCAGTACTGGAAAATGGTCTAAAACAGTGGTTCTTAAAATTTTTTTACCAAGTGCCACCTCAGAAAAAAATATTGCTCCAAGTACCACCATAATGACCTGTTAGCACAGGGATATAAAAACACGGGATACGACCCCAACAACTATTACAAATATGGGGAGGAATTTAGCTTCAAATGATAGAATACATAACAAACATTAGAAAATTAAAAATAAAACAAAAGGTTTAGCCTATTAAAATCAATTTACTAATCACATCAGTGACATCTTACACATTAAAGGGTTAAAAGTGTATTTTTTTGTACTTTCGCGTACCACTTGAAGGAAGCCTGTGTACCACTAGTGGTACGCGTACCACAGTTTGAGAACCACTGGTCTAAAACATACAGCACTAAATTCCAGAATCATTAAAATAAATCAAAACCTCTGAGAAACACATTACCAAGTTGTTGATGAGTTTTTACCAAAATGGAGGCCTACTGATCCTAGAAAAATACCCAGATTTGTTTGGCAAATAACTCAAATGGTGAAAATCCCCTAACACCCTCCCACATTTCCAAAACATTACTACAAATGCAAGAGAAAGTTAAAAACCTGGCAGTTAATATCAACAAGGCCTGCAGAGAGCAGATGTTGTACAATGCTGAAATGCCCGTTCTTAGCAGCAAGATGGAGACAAGTTGATCCTTCAACATCCTGAAAATAAAAAAATAAAAAAAACAGGATGTGGTCAATATTTAAACTGATTATTAAATAGGCTTATCAACCTCCGTGCTTGAGGCTACTGACCTTGTGAGAGACGATGGCTCCGGCCCGCAGAAGATATCGCACAGTTTCGAGATGGTTGTTCTCACAGGCCTCCATCAGAGGCGTCCGCTGGTCCTCATCACACATGTCAAGGTTGGCACCAGCCTGAACAATAAGGTGGTCAATTTTCACTAATTTGAGTTTCAGGTTTAGAATGACTCGAAGATGTGTAAATGATGATTTTTTTTAATCGCTGGTAGATTCATTGGCATTTGTCCTTACCTGTACCAGCATATGGCAGACATCCTGATGACCTGCTTCTGCAGCAACATGGAGTGGCGTCCGTTTGTTCTGGCTCTCCATTTTGAAGTTGGGATCAATCCCATCCACTGAGAATAAGGAAAAAAGATATCCAGCACAGAACAGACAACAATGAAAAAAAAATAAAAAATTCAGCTCTCTTACCCAACATTAGTAGGACCTTCTGCAGCTCCCCTTGTTTGGCAGAAATGTACAATTGTTTTGGGTGAAACCGAAGCTTCTTGGGCCTTGAGGGAGTAGAAATGGATTTGCTAATTAACCAGTAAAAGTGAAAAAGGTGCTAAATTAAACAGTTGTAATAGATGGTTTTCTTACTTTTCAGCATCTAGAGCCAGCAGGACACTTTGCAGAGTTTCTTTAGGTGGTCCTGGTGGAAGTGGAAGTCCAGGTGCAGCTGCCATCGCTACAGACCTGGCTTTGGAACCCACAAGGGACAAAGATGTGTCCTGTGATTCTGAAGGTTTGGGTAAGGTGCTGTTTGCTTTTCCCTCTCCAAGTACAGAGAGCCGAGTGGACCTTTAAATGATCAACAGATCAACTTAAAGATAAGATGTGAAAAAACAAAATGAACTACATCCTACAGGAATGCAGTTGCAGGAAGATGTTGTAAAAGGCTACATAACATTATTCAGCTGGCACATACCCTCCAGTGGTAGTGTCCGCTTTGCCCTCTGAGGTGCTGGGTATGCAGGAGCTATGGGTGATGGGTACAGTTGACGTTGTATCTGCCTTGGCAATGGTGACCTCTTTCGCCTTGCTGACTTCCTCTCCACAATGTGGACAAAAGCTCTGCCCATTAAGTACCGAGGCACAGGTCCGATGGAAGCGGTGGGAGATGTTCACCTCTGGCTGACACTCCATGAAGGTACCCTACATGATGGCCACATGAAATACCTTTAAGCGGTTTGCTGAAATGTAGCTGAAGTAAAAACTCAGTGGATATTCAGACACATGCAAGATTCTTGGCAATCGACTTGTCATGCTGTCACTGACACCCAATCAAAAACCTAAAATGTTCTCTTGGGTAAAGCCAAAGACTCACGGCTCTGCAAAAGAAGCCACAGCCAGGGCAGCACTGATGCTTGACCATGCCTGTGCGATGGTCCTCACACAGAACCAGCAGTTGGACAGAATTTGAAGGCCTCATCATCTCGTGCTTCAGCACTGCACTCTGACAACGGCTCAGCTACTCCCAAAACAACAGAGAACCAATTATAATAGAGTTCAGAACCTTGGCTTTTATATAAATTTGTACTGTAACATGACACATGATGTTACAAAAACTGAAGATTTCAAATATTCAGAAGTTAGACAATATGTGTCAAACTCAGCTCCTGAAGGGCTACGGTCCTGCAGACTGATTTGTTCAAACCACCTGTTTGGAAGTTTAGCTGTATCTAGGGGTGCCAAAATTAGGTGGATTGTAGGGCAGATAATATGGACAACTGTCCATAAAAGGATTGCATGAAAAACGTTTCAGGGGGTTGCTCAAATGTAGCTTAAGTAAAACCTCTGTAGCTTTTAGGACAACTGCATAGTCAATAAATTATTGACTATTGATTTGTCATGATGTCATTGAAACTCAATCTAAAAGACCTAAAAGTTTCTCTTGGATGAAGCCAAAGACTCACAGGTCTACAAAGAAGCCACAGACTGGGCAGCACTGAAAGGTTTGCTTGATTACAAGGATCCAGGGGTTAGAACAATTCCAAGGGCCCAGATCAGAAAGAGGGGCTGATGCAGAACTTATACAGAGAGAAACCCAAAGAACTTGATCTTGATTTTAGATGGCCTAAGTGAAAATGGAATCTAAATAATGGACAGTTAACAAACCTTTGAATGTATTGCTCAAATGTGTCTGTTATAAAAACTCTGTAGCTTTTCCAATGCATGCCTTCAGTCAAGAATTTCTTGGTCATGACTTGTTGACACTGAAAGCCAATCGAAGACCTAAAACTCCTGGGCAGCAGACTCCTGGGCAGCACTGGCTTGTTTGCTTGGTTTGATAAATCTAGGAGCGCCAAAATTGTAGAGAGGGATTAGATAACACCAAGAGCCCTGATTAAAGGGGATGCCTGAAACAGGACCAAACAGGAAATCCCTAGAAACATGATCACAATTTTAGGAGGACTGAATAAATATACCGTTAAGTGGAGCAGAACTCACAGTGGTGCTCCTGATCAGGTGTTCAGGTTTATTGAACACCTCATGAAATTGAACCTGATCAATTAAGTTGAGTAAATTGTCCGGAACAAGGTGACCCTTTAGGAACTGAGTTTGAGAGCCCAGAGTTAGATCAATCCTTCTGTAACTATTTCAATGCAAAATACTTCACCCAAACTTTGTTCAGATAGTATATAACAGAGGTTCTCAGCTTTGACCCTCAAGGTCCACATTCTTACAGAGTTTGGCTTAAACCCTAATGACACCTACTTTAAAAAGTCAATTGACATCTTCAGGATTACTAGATACTCCAAGTTAATTTCATTTACAATGTAGACTTCCAGAGTTACGAACCCCTGGTATATAACAAGATGATGCATTCCTGAAAATGCAAACACTGGCACAATCACCATAGATATACATATCCACATGAGCAACTATCTCACCTGGCCGTCAATGCTCTCAGTTGCCATACACTTCCTGTCCGCAAGCGTGAGGATCTCTCGACTCTTGGGTGTCTCCATTCGACAGCTGCATAGAGGCAGTTCCTGCACCATGTCTGCATCTGTGCTCTGCAATGACCCTGAAGCAGCTAAGAAACACCACTTTTAAGAATCTAATATTCATGAGAAGCCACCATTTTTCAAACATAGCTGGGACAAAGCCAATGTTACATCCTATCCATTCATATATCCATCAGAAATATTTCATAGATGCAGCCATTAACGTTTCTGATATGGATTTCTCTAAATTCACGCAAGACCACCAGAGGGCACCATATCTGCTAGAGTGTTGATGACTCATTTGATCCAAGATGGAGGCTACTGCAAAGGCCAGACATTAATCCTCCTCTGAACTTCACACTAATATAACATTCTTCAAATGCAATGATTGTAACCCCTTTGAAAATATCCAAAATAAAACATGACTTCTGATCAGATGACATAACATTTAGACATTTAGAAATGCAAACAACAAAACTTTAAGGGAAAAGAAATTCACATTATTTAATCAAAACAAGACATCCATTTACACCTCCTCACATAGATTTCCCCAACAAATACAATTGATACCTTCCCAATTTAAGCAGGACAAATTTGGTTTCACCTGTATTTTGAGATGTCAATAAGGCTTCCTGTGCTGCTAGATTGAGAGAGTCTAGAGGGACTTCTTTATACTCCTTTCTGTGAGCAGTAGGGACTGATGGGGCGCTCTGGCTTTCTGGCCGAGACTGGATCTCCGTTACTGGAGCTAGGATGGGACAGACATAAAGAGAATTGTAAATGAAACAAATTAAAATTTAAAGTGCTGCCCTACACCTGATATTTCAGGAAAACATGCATTTAAACTCTCACCAGAAACCTTGTCCGTTTTTGCTTTCCATTTCCTCTTGCGTTTCCTTGACGGTCGGAGCCAGGCATGATCTCCTTTGGCTTTCTTTTTCCATTTCTTTTTCAAACTGGATTCTGAACTCTGAAGAGGATAGACATAAGTCACAGTCAACAAATGGAGCAATACAGATCTGTGAAACTGAAAAACCTTCCATCTAAATTACTCCTGGTTATTCGAGTGTCCTTTAACACTCAATATTTGAAAACGTTTAATAACTCACCAAGTCTGATTCATCCCCTTCCTCTTCACCTTCACAGTCTTGAGACTCCTCAGACTCTTCTTCCAGGGGCTTGTGAATGAAAAATGTACAAATAAACATTTTAGGCTATTTTACCTTAAACATACAGATTCAGTGTACAAGCCATTTGCAATCCAAAGGAGTGAATTACACAATGACCAACACTTCCATTTCTTCTGAATTCCCACCTGTGAGATCGAAGGTATCCTAGGTTCCTCATGTGAAGCTTTGGCTCCATCTTCTGTGACTAGCTCTTCTTCATCCTCTGTGTCTTCCCCTTCCTCTGACTCCTCCTCATCAGACTCATTATCCATTTTCTCTCCATTCACACGCACAATCTCCTTTGGCTGTTGTGAAGTCAGAACAGAAAGACTGGCATTAGATATCAATGTTCCAATGGCTTCCAATGGTTTCCAAAACAATGGTAGGCAATTCTTTCATACACCGAATAGCAGTACTGGTGTGCGTTCCCTTATAGAAAACAATGTGTATGACTCTAAAAAGCATCCCATGACAGGACGTGGTGCTTTGAGTCTGTTGTACGACCCCCTGCAGCTTTCTGAAGTACAGGAAGGGTCAACCAACATGCAATACAACATTAAGAAAATATTACTTCCAATCAAAACTCCGCCTATGCAACTCAGAGGTAACTTTTAATAACACAGTAAGAAAAGGTTTTAATTTGGTGGTTCAACTTCTGACCTTAGGGTTGGGTGGAGACTGGGATATCTGCTGAAACATCTCCAGAACTGTGCGTTGTTTCAAGACTTTGTTTTTCTTCTTGGGTACAAGACTATATGTTCCCATCTTTCTTTTTTTCTTCCTTGATACGGCTGCTACTGAGGGAGAGACAGGTCTGGGTTCAACTGTCGATGCATAAAGAGAGAATTCTGGAATACAGGTCATTTCAAGCATTATTTCACTGTACAAGCAATCATACATCTATGTAAAAACTGTAAAAAAAAAAAAAAAATTTGTGAAAATTTGGTACTGCCAATATTTTTAGTAGAGTCTACATACAAGTAAACAAAACATAACTAGATACAAAGAAAGATTAAAGAGCGTGTAACCTATTTGTGGCTTGGCAGGTGTGGTGTTCGGTACAGATGTGGCGTCAGTTTGGCTTTGAGGTAGCTGATTCTGGATTAGAGATGGCTGAGGCTGCACTGCCTCTGGTTTGCCTGCACTGTCATCTTTTACCACGACTGGCTCTTTATTTTCCCTGTTCAAAAGCTGAAGAAGGAACACAAATGTGATTAATTGTATCCATGACCGTGATTCATGAGCAGACCTAAATAAAGGCCAAAACAAGGTAGTGGTGAATGCGCTGTCGTCATGACTAGTGCAGCTGATGTAGGAGAAATTTTCATGGCAGTAAATCCTCATTACCTTTAGTGTCTGGTTTGAGGCCGGCCTTGACATAGTTTTACGTGCACGATGTACTGTTGGTGGGGGTGTTTTTGAAATGATGCCATTTTTAGTCTCTGTTTCTGCTCGTCTCTCTGTTAGACTTGGTCCTTGGCTTGCACCACTGTTTGAAGAACCCTGGTCTAGAGATTGCAACACTGAAGGCGGTGAGCTTTTAGTCCCATGCCCCAATGTGGTACCCCCAGTGGGGGACCAGTTAGTCCTGTGAGGGGCTGACACTGTATCTTCCTTTACTTTGCTTAGAATATATCCATTACTGCCTACTTTTGAGCCATGCGGTGGCTCAGTTTCTGATAGCCCATTCTCCATGGTTGAGGGTCGTGCTGGTGACCCTTGTGTAGAGAGGTTCTGTTCATTTCTCTTTGTGTCCATATTTTCATAGGTCCCATTCTGCTCAATGGCCTCTCTAAGAGGGCCTGTTCGCCCATCCTGGTGATCATCATCTCCTCCTATGTGGAAATAACATTAACAAAAAAAAAAGATTACTTAATTTCACAACCTCTAAATTTGCAGGATTGGTTTCAACAGAAGTTGGCACATCATTTAGGCCAAGGGTGTCAAACTTGGTTCCTGGAGGGCTGCAGCCCTGCACAGTTTAGTTCCAACCCTGCTCCAACACACTTAAGCTGCGGGTACACTTGACTTTTCTCCCCATAGACTTCCATTCATACCCACGCAAATGCGTCAGACCAGAAACACAGGGTCATGCGTTAAGCTTGGTGAACTCTGACCTGCGAAATTGTATAACTTGACTGCGTGAGACTAATCGAGGATCAAAACATGACCTTTCTGGACAGAAATTTAAAACATGGAGCAATCGCTCGCTTTTTTTAATGTCTAATAATCTTGTTTAATCCCGCCCCTTTTCGCAGCGTCGTACAACAGAATTTCACACACACAAACTCTAGTGTGACTGCAGCCTTACCTGTAGGTTTCAAACAAACCTGAGGACTCAATTACTTTATTCAGGTGTGTTTAATTAGGGTTTGACCTAAGCTGTTTGACACCTCTGATTGAAGCTGCGGTCACTCTGGACTTTTCTCTCCATAGACTTTTATTCATATGCACATGAATGCATTAGACCGGAAACGCAAGCTTGTGCGACAAGTTTCACAGTTTGCTGCGTTGCAAAGTTCAAGCTTGGTGAACTCTAACCTGCAAAATTGCATGACTTGACTGCGTAAGACCAATCGAGGATCCAAACATGACCTCTCTGGACAGAAATTTAAAATATGGACCAATCGCTTGCTTTTTTAATTGTCTAATCTTCCTGTTTAATTCCGCCCCTTTTCAAAGTGCCGTGCAACAAAATTCCGCATTCTCAAACTCTAGTGTGACCGCAGCTTGAGGCAAAAACAAAACATATGCATGCTAAGAATGTACAAGTAATGCTGAGTTCAGACTGAATGATTTTAGCCCGATTTTGACTCACCGACAGCTTTTGAGAAAATCGCAGACAGATGCCTGAAATCATAGGCAAGTTGGTGCTCGTTCACGTGAGTAACAATCACACCGAGTGAGCTATTAAAGACGTGATCTGAGAGAATCGCAGATGAGTCGCTGACACCCGTGAGATATTTGGCATGCTAAATATCTGGACCTGTTGCCAATTCAAAATCATGTCATGTGAATTATGTTGATTGAAAATATCACCTACAGCCAATGATAAGCAGCATCCGCTAGTGAGGGTATCTGCAATCCAGCGGGAGGTTGGGGGAGATGTTAAAAGTGCTTATTTCTAATCTATTTGGACCCAAGAAATGGAGGAAAAACTAGTGGAAATTTGGCAGGAACCTCCATGTCTGTTTGAAAACACAGGTGTGCAAAATAGCCCACTAAAACTTCTTTCTCATTATGTAGTTAATAACAAAAGATATACTGTGTGACCTTGCGTTGTTTCCATGTCACTTCTCGCATGTGTTTGGTTGTGAGACGTAGTTTAAGAACCGAGACAAAGTTGTCGGCGATTCTTCCTATACTTTGAAAATCATGCAGTCTAAACCTGGCACAAGGCTCTTAAATGAGAAGTAAACAATGAAAGAGAGAAAGACATTTTTTATACTTTGTGTGTGTATATATATATATATATATATATATATATATATATATATATATATATATATATATATATATATATTTATTTATTTAATAACTCAGTAAATTCTTCTAAAAAAAAATGCATTATTTAAACTGTATACAGTAGCTCTTTCATTCATAAATCTATATGTAGGGCTACGGTTTAGATCAGATAAAATATTTTGTAATATTGCTTTGCACCCCTAAATTTAATTAAAAAGAATTAATAAAAAACAACAATAAATAACTTGGATATATTAACCTACAAGACATTAAGAAGCTAACCAAAATGCAGAAATTAAATAAAAGTCAAGATCAGCATAAAAAATGCTTAATAACAATTTTTGTGTTTACCTTCTTCTTGATCACTGCGAGACTCTTTTGTCCCCTCGGACTTCATGGTTTCCCTCTTGCCTGAATTCCCATTGGCCAAACTGGAGGGCTGAAAACAAGCACACAGCTGAATTACTGGGTTTCCATAACATACGTAATGTCATGGGAAAAATGTATTTGTAAACCATGAGTAATGATGAATAATACATCTTTTAATACAAGGGTGACAGTGCGTGAAGTCAATAAATAAAACTTCAGTACAAGCTAGGCTGATGACAAGGATAACCTGCCTCAAATGATTAAAGTGACATCAGGTATCAAAGCGCATCAAATTAGAGTTAGGATCTAAATTAAATGACCCAGTGTTTTCCAAAATAACAGAAAATCATTATGGCAACTGGCAACAAAACACAAACACTGACGAGGAAGAAAAAAAAACATGACCTCCCTTTGGGAATGTGAGAGGCTTATCCCACAGGTTCAGTCTGAACAACATCCGAAAAACGAGGACTTTGATTGGCTGGGCTTTGAGCTGACAGTCAATCCTGAGTCGAGTAATATTTTTATGAGATTTACCATCTCCCAATGCCCTAAGCCAGAACTTATTCAACAAAATCCCTCAGAATCTTTCAACTAAAACAGCAACCAATAAGTCAAATAAATATTCATCTTTATTGAAAATTACCCAGTCGTGACCAGGCTGAAATGTTATGCCATCATGTCATTTATAGCAATAACAACAATATGAGAGCATGGACACTGAGGCCCAGCATCCCAATTACCTTCCTAATTGCCACCGTTTTTCTCGATCACAGTTTATATGTTCTGGTTGAATCAGCCACTTTCATTCCTGACTCCAGGTTCACCGGAAGTGCACAGTCGGATTCAAAGCCTGATAAATACCATGTGGAATATCTCTCCTGCTACGCTAAGTAAAGCAAAAATAAACAAATGGCAACAAATCCCTGCTTCAGCAAGACTTTTATGATCTCTCTGCAAAAAAAGACAGACTTGTACAAAAGCAGACCTCAACTGACACACCAAAACATCAGAAAAACTATGACAAAAACTGTTAGTCACATCAGCCACATCCCTAAGATCACAACTAAAGAAACCATGTTCGAACCTCAAGTCTTGTTCCTAAAGCCAAAGTATATTATCTACAGGTCTGGGAAGTTACCTGAGATCATACATTATCCTTTGAGCTACGACTCAACTTACAACCACATCCTAGGAAGCTACGACAAAGCTGCAATAATGTCAGGTGATCATCAAGAACTCCAGCTTGACCCAATTGACCTAATTTGTCATTAAACTACAAGTTTCAAATGAACCCTGGAGGCAAAACAAACAGCATGAGGTGATGATACACTTGTTGATTTTTTTATCATCTAGAAGCAAAGACAGACGTCCTCAAGCCATGCAACTAAAGAGGTGCATCCAGTCTCACTCACATACCAGCCTCAAACTACTGGAGTGAATCTCTGCGGCCAGGCTCAAAAAGGAAGAGGTAGGTCACAGGGTGCAGTAATTACAAGCAAATCCAAGCTTTCTCCCAACACTTGTCCCCTCCCCCACACCAGCCCCGGTCCCCAGACCTCATCTGATTGGCAGACACACCAGCTGCCTTCCGTTGCACAGCCAGAAAATGTCTGCCGCTCGTTGGAGCTGCTCTTGCAACAAAGGAGGTTGTGTGGCTTTCTGTTCCTCTCTCTCACCAGCAGGGGATCCACTTCATAATAAGAGTCCTCTATTTCCCTGACCAAATCAGGCAAGATCTGCCCCACTGACATTACAAAAGCACCATCACACCATATCAAATCAGCCCCACGTTGACTGTGGTTAAACTCCAAGGTCTGTTACGTCTGGACGTTCTGTCTCAGCTCTGTATCTGCATCTCTGATGCAATCACACCTTGGTGTTTACAAAATGTCAAACAGAGTTGGGTGTACAGGTTTTTTAAAGAAACAATTCCTCTGTCTAGAGCAGCGTTTCTCCAACCTTTTATGTCTTTTGTGCCTCCACTACCCCATCAGTGAGGTTCAAGTATCCATCCACAGTAACAAAACCCAATTAACGATTAATTTGTATAGTGGCATGCAATCACCATCCCATCTAAATTTTTGTCATTAGAAGAGTAAATCTGCTTCTGTCTTACAACTTATTAGTTCAAGTTTGTTTAATAAGCAACAATGCGATATTAAAATCCGATGAGAGTTATAATGTAGTGTATTTGTTGTCCGTTTAATGGCTGCAATACAGCAAAATCTTTAGAAGCAAAAGACAGACGTCCTCAAGCCATGCAACTAAAGTGGTGCATCCAGTCTCACTCACATACCTGCCTCAAACTACTGGAGTAAATCTCTGCAGCCAGGCTCAAATAAGCAACAACACATTCATAAATTACTGACAAAATCCTACTGGATGAATCATTAAAATCTGATGCGAGTTATAATGTAATGCATTTGTTGTCCGTTTGATGGCTTTTTATACAGCTAAAACTAAAACTTCCAGGTGCCTTATTTCAACTCTTAAATATCCCTGGTTGGGAAACACTAGCTTAGATTGCTTCAGAAATTGGTTTATAGCATATATTGCATTATATTAGCAGAACATTTTGAGACATAGAGAGAATATCTGAAAATCTCAAGCAGCAAACAGCATCCTTTCATCTTGACACCTGAAAATAGGCCTTGAGAAAGAGGACCTCCAGTTACAAAGAGAAGTGGTTTAAAATATTCACCGTTAGTTACCAAAACTAAGTCCATTTTACATGTGCTGGCACAGTGTTGTTTCGTCCATCACAAAGGTAAACTTATACTGATCAAATAATCCCAGCCAATTAGCCAGATAAACTAGATTATCTTTTTCTCTTCTTTGGTTCTTACATAATAAGCAGACTTGTATGCTACTATATAGTTTGTTTAGTTCCCTTAAAGAAAACAACTGCAGAATAAAGTAAACTGTATGACCTCTTGCTAAGTCTTGCTTTGGGATGATGATGAAGTGCATTAAAGACCAAGTACTGTGTACAAGTGTCACATCTAAAGTGAACTTGCTCGCATGCACAAAGTTCCCTACTACTTCCAGACTGAAAACCAGTGTGGATTTTTGAAGTTTAGAGTTGCCTTAGTGCAGGAATATGAACAAATTCAAATCTGTAGCTGATTGTAAAAACCTGGCACCATCTCCACATTGCACAAGGTCACAGATGTTCTGACCCAATAACCACAGCTTGCACAATCTGATGCACTGTCATTCCTAGCATGCATGGCTGTTTTGAGTGCAACCATTCACAGCTTTGCAGCATAAAGAACTTGCCACAGCCGTATTTGAAATGATAAACAATCAATAAAGCTGCATTTTGCCACTTGCCATTCACAGACTCATCCAAACTCAATCCATGTCCTTTTATGTCATAAACCATCATTCCAAGTATTACCTCCAGTGATCTCTTCATTGCCCAAACAACTGCCAAGCAGACAAGCTAAAGAGGATCCCCAAAACCAGGTCCCGAATTCCTCTCACTGAGAAAAAAAGCATTCGAGTATGATTACCCAGTTGTTTCCCTGGATCTCCCCCTACTGGCCAAAGAGGGAACATTCTCAATAGAGGAAAAAGAAGGGAAGTGCCTTCTGGTCCTTTCCACCATGTTGTAACCACAGTGTTTACTGATACGACGAGCCAGACAGAGAATGTTTTCACTGTATATGGAGAACGGGATTGGGATTTTGGTGGACTGGGGATAGGTAAACAGCCTCTATTTGTTGCAAGCAACATATCTAGAGTTTATTTTAAGATTCAAGGAATAATTAATGCTTTAATTATGAACTGAATCTCTATTAAATAACTCGATTTAATACAGCTAATACGAAGCAAAAAAATTATATAAACACACACATGCACAATTTAGTTTATAAAACTACACTGGGAGCCAAAAAAAACACTTTAACATCCCCAAATCCATGATGTCAATTTTCCTCATGAATAAAATACCTGCTATAATACAGATTAAATCTGCTTAGCGTTTTATCAAAAGCTGGTTGGGATGTAGTTTTACACTCTAATGACCTATTTCAATGTCCACAGAGAGTGCAAATGCACTCTTTCTTTTGAACTCTCCAGCAATAAACAGGTTTTTCCATTCCAGATGCATATGATCATCAACTCTGATATCTGCTTAGAGTTAACCAGCCATCTAGTGGGATTTTAAACACTTGACTTTAACAATCCAAGATGTTGATTCATAGGTAAACAGGGGTTTGTTTCATGCTGTTCAGCAGCAGCCATCAAAATGCAAACAACAAAACTACATAAGACTTTTGTTGACTTCACATTCCTAATAGCTTCAACACAAACTGCAAGCCCAAAGTGCAATGTCTTAATGAGGACGTATGAAATATGAGAGTGCTAAAAATGATTCACACCTTCGGTTTTAATATCCAGTTACGTGTGCATCCAAACGTCAGAGCCAAAGCAACCGTTCAGAGTGTCATCTGCGGCTGTGACTCACACATTAATGCCAATCAATGAAGAAACCAAAATGTGAGCAAAGACCCAGGGGAACATGACCAATCTACTGAAAAAGAACAAATGAAGCCTGGAACCAGATTCATTACAAAAATTAAGCCAAATCATATGAGGCAAAAATGGAAAAAAATAAAAAAAACAGCAGGCTTTTATGCCATTGTGTTTGGTGTCAATCCACATTGGAATAAAAAACAGGTACAAAAAGGCAGGACATATTAAGGCTGAGACTGGGAAAAACAACAGGCCTCATTCTTTAGGTCTTGCAGCAAGGACTAATCACTAAACTGTGTCATCTTTCTTGTCCTGGAACCTGCTTTTTGTTAACATCCCTATATGCAACAAAGTTTAAAATATTTCTCCTAAAAAACATTCAAAATTCAAGTTTTCAGATGTACTGTCTCCTTGTCTCTCCATATTGGCAGCCTAAAAACCTCTCAACAGGCCTGGGCCTGCAGACTTGGTTCTCCCTGAACTATATGTCAGTTAGGAAACGCATATTACCACACATCCATTTCCACAGTAAGCATAATGTGCACACATAGTATTCATTAAAAATCTGTAACATTTGGCAGAATGTACCAGCACACAGTATCCCACAATGCAGCACACAAACAACCGACCAGCCATTTCATGTGTGGTAAATAAACCAACTTCAGCCATTTCCAAAATCAACACTTGATCTGACTACCATGGCTGGGCGATATGGCAAAAATACAATCTCCATAATTATTTTGCATATTATATATATATATATATATATATATATTTCGATATAAGTTGTTAATGCTTCCAAATTTAAAAGAGTATCCCAACAACGAATGAAGTCTAAAAAAATTTGAGGGTCCATTAAATGGCATAACATATTTTCGACCGATAAATCTTTGGTGACAAAACATCTCTATTATCAACACACTTTTAGCTTCCTATTGTTGTACATTTCTGCTATGTGATTAGCTCTTAGATCAATGTAGAGTAAAAAAAAGTCCAGAGCTTATCATTGCTATTAGGGGTGTGAACCTCCACTGGTCTCACAGTTTGGTTATGATGATCATGCCATCAATTTGGTTCATCAACGATGCTTTCCATACATAATTAGATTTTTTTCTTTTTTCTTCAAAACACAATGTTTTATTAAAATCTAGAAATATATATATATGTATATATACTATTTGTAATAAAATGTTATCCTTTAATACAAGCAGACAAATATATGAACTGTACCTTTAATTTGACCTGCTTAAAAAAAAACACTCTTTTTGAATGCTTTAGACAAAACTCCAATACATGCACAGAAGAGAACATGAACATTTATAGCATAAACACTAATGTAAATATTATCCCGCTTGCTTTTTGAGCACTATCAAGCAAATTCTTACACTCCTATGACTGATCATTGTCTTCACCTGCTCAATAGAAGGGGCTGCAATTGGCTTTAAAAATATGCATACTATGCATATACTACGCATAATATGCTGATATCATGAATAATCCGTAATAGACGGAGTGGAGAGAACTTGCACCTCAGGCACGCTTGTGTCTGGATCCACAAGAATCGATTTAACAGCCGAGAGGAAAGACAAAGTTACCCCACGAACACCCCAGCTGGTCAAATGTCCGAAGTGAGAGAGAGAGAGAAAGAGAGAGAGAGAGAGAGAGAGAGAGAGAGAGAGAGAGAGAGAGGCAGAGATGGATTTTTACAGCATTTCTCCATAGTAGTAAAATAGCGGCACGTGCTGTACCTTCTTCAGTGTCAGTCAAAGACTGTCCACCAAACTCACAAGCAAAGAATTGTGCACTAGTATCTTGTTTTTAAGTAGTAGGAGTGTTTTATTTGCCCGCCCATGCCTCCTTGCCAAAGTATTCTAGCGCAACATCGCACATTTCAGATAAATGACATCAGTAATAACCGGTTATGATCCGTTACAGAACCGTTATCAAATTGTCCCCATCTTCATCGCGGTGCACCGAAGAAACAATTAAATTTGAAACCCCTAATTGTTTATTGACAAATTTTATCATGATTTAATATAATAATCGTGTATCGGCGCAGCCCTACTTGCTGCAATTTAAGCGTTTTATGACAGCCATAGAAATCAATGAATGTAGCATACTACAGGTCGAAGCATTTATTGTCGTATGAAAAGCATAGTTTCACATATTAATTGAAGCCAGTATGAATCCAAAATGGTGACCATATATCCTCCTTACTGTCTGCTTCTTAAACGGGGATAAAATAGGAAGGGACTTGATTTTGTCCTTTTGGAATTGACTGCACAGTCCACACCATTCTCCAATTCTACATTCTTAAGGATTCATCAAATAAGGACATCAAAAACGATGATTCGAATGGAGATGCAAGCATATAAACCATCACTTCAGTGTTTATATGCTGCCCTGTATTCAAAAAGCTCTCCTCTTGCTTTATAATACTCTAAAAATCGGTGCCAAAAGAGAAACAACCAGCTGACCACAGATGCTTATTAATCCTCTGGATTTTCTCTCAAGACTTCAAACGTTGACTCAGACCTCTATGAAGGAAGGAAAAGACACTGTTGAAGGCTTCAAGCTCAAACGGATTTGACACTGCGTGTTCTTGTTTCAGCTGAGAGGGCCGTTGACTATAGCACTGGCTCAAAGCTTAAGAGGAAGAATGGGCGCCATATTTCAGTCGTTTCTCAGAGCGTTCCTCTCTCCTAAACATCAATGGACCCAAAGTGAATGATGAGATGAGTAAGTGATGACAAAACACAAGGAATGAAGATGACGAGTCTCAAATGATGCACATTCAGAACCAGCATGATGAAGAATCCAAGCACTGAATCACCATAGGTGTTCCTCCATTGGTCTCATACCTGCTTTCACAACGATGGCCTCTGTTGAGGGAGAAAGAGCTTCGAGCAGACTGCTCCTGTTTTCTCTTCTCCTCCCGCATGCAAGCATTCAACCGGCTTGTTGATCATGTGACCTACAGGCTCCCTCTGTCGGCCGAGCTAGCTAAAGCTAACACTGGGCATGCTCAGTCAGTTCAAATTTCATTTTTTTTTCTCCTGAGAGAAGGGCAACGACGAATTCAGGCAGCCATGTCATTGCTCTAAAGGAGCAGGGAAGGTATGGTGAAGTCTTAGAGACGTGAAGCTCTGCCGTCTACTACAGGAACCAGGAGCCAGGCAGTGTTATCCTTAATCTGCTGTCGTCTCTCAAGAGGTCTTTATCTCCACTGAGCCCCTTAGTAGGGCGCGGATGTCACAGGAGACACAAGGCCCAAAGAGGCCAGTGGCAAAAACATTTCCTAATGTTAGTAGTCAAATTAAAAATTGTCTGGAAGCAACCTATTTGGTACATTGTGTTTACCAGATGCAGAAATCTGTAAAAGGTACGAAAATACCAGCACAGGCTAATGAAAGAAGGCAAACTGTATATGGTCCTAACGAATCAGCTAAAAATTCAGGGTTAATACAAGGGATGTGTACTGGAGTCCATGAAGGTAAAATGACTCCTTCAAAAGACACATTAGGAGCAGCATTTTTCACAAATACACAGATATAGTTTCAACCAAACAATCTGGATTCTTTTCAAACAATTATGGATTCTCTAAGGTTACAAATCCATGTCTTTAATAATCCATGGCTTTAATCATTACTGAAGCATATTTTTTCTTTCTTTTTAAAAAGATATCTGCATTTAAAATGCATAGTCATTGCTAGGGAAATACGAAACCAAAGTACATATTAAAGTACATCTTTTGTTGATGTCACAGTAAACACAGTAACAACGACACAGTAACCATAAGCTCAAAATCTGACCCAATATCCCACAGAATCTGAAAAAAAGAATGCTAAACAGAATCTAATAGCTAAAAACGAAGAGTATAAGAACCATGTAAAATTGTGAAAACCATCATCAAGAATTATTTATTTTAAACCACCAGGGTGTGCTTGAAAATGTTAGCTACACTTTTCAGGACACATGCGCCACGCTTGTAGGAATGCATATTTTTTTCCCGCCAAAAATAATACAAGAGAAACCAAAATGGCAGAAAATATGAGCCAGAAAGAAAAGGCTATGCTAGGCCACACTGCCCAAGCAGTTTTCACTGTAATAGATTCCCTTTTCCTGCAGCCATAGTCACAGCGCAATGTGTAGGAGCTTTCACACTGTAAGCAGAAAGCACTGTGCTACGAAACCTATTCGTTTCAATGGCTTGCACCACACAAGGGTGGTCGGTTGCTGCGGCTACCAAAACACAAGAGCAGTGGATTGCACAGTCAACTAATTTGCGTGGTCAAAGTTCAAAATAGCTCAATATTCCACTCATGTAAACATGAACCACATATGCTCACTGGAAAAGCAAAGTCTTTGCTTTATCGTACCGAAATGACATTTCTACTTGGTATACTTGTTTCTGCTACTTTCAATGCTGCTACTATACTGTCATGGCAGCGCTGGTACAATAACTCCTTCTGACTCATTTACTGTCAATAATTTATGGTCAATAACATGTGATTATTTTATTGGCTTGTCTTTATTTAAATGTACCATGTAAAATAATTTGATTCATTTTTTTTTTTTTTTGCCCTTGCTGAAATAAAAATCTTAAATGATAGGGTACATGTTTTTTTTTCATATGGTATGGTCAAATAATTCTATATCAAGTACTACAATACAATACATAAGCTTGTATAATAATTCTTTCTTGTATTTTATTTTCCTCCACTTTCAGGAATCATGTAGTTCTAAATGGTTAAACTCATTTTCAAAACCACATTTTCATATGACACTAATATTGTCCAGCAATAAAAAGCAGGAGGCCTAAGCAGTTCATATAATGGAGGCCTGTATGCTTTCTGAAAGAAATCTGGTGCTCAAACAATAACAAGCACTGATTCTGATAGCAAAAGCTTATAAAATGCATAGATAATCCTTTGCATTTATTGTTCTACAGTCCTTGTTCACTTCTCCGAGACAGAAACAGTATATAGTTAAGAATACACTATATATCATGACTATAAATGCCCTGCATGATAGCTAAAAGTTTGCCGCAATGAAACGGATCTTAAGTATGAGAGGTTATGAAATTCCTTTAGATTCTGCAAGGCTGATTTCTCAACATGCTTTAAGGCCTTGCAACCTTGGCAAGGGTAAAAAGTCTCCCGATTGTCATTCCTCAAAATAAAGAGCACTTCTCACCACCTCAGAACAGAATTTAAATACAAAAGCCTCCATACACTACGAGTTTAACTGCCATATTGTAGTTACATCCTACCACTCACAAACCGGTTTTCTTGAAGCCATGTTTATCATATTAAAACTCTGAAGACTTCAGAAATAAATATTCTCTTCTTGGTTTTCTACAGCAGAATAATGGAAAAGGGAAGAGATACAAAAAGGAGTACAGAGAGCAGTGTGTCTATTTAAGATCCATTTAGACACCTATGTTTTCTTTGCATTTCTCTGGATGTACAGCTTGGATTTAATCACATGCTCACAAAAGAAATTGCAATACAATACATAAGCCTGCACCCAAAGTTGTGCTTTGAGAAAATAGATCCAGATGGCTGCAGGCATGCAAATGGGCTTCTTACAAATGCCGAAGCATTCTAGTATTCACCTCAATGGAATCTACACCAGGACCAGGGAGCAAAACAAAGCTCATTGCCAGCAAGGAGAACAGCACTGCTGATTATACGAAGCCGATGTCAGCATTCGGGTATCGAGAAAACCAAAGAATTCCTTGCATAATCAGCTTGATTTGCATGGTTGCTTATGTTCATCCCACTTTTAAGATCTTCCTTCCTCGCACTGAAGACAAATGCAAACACAATGCAGGAAACCATCTGTTAAAACCAATAATTGCCTTATTTAAAGACTGGATGGGATGTTCTGCTGGATTTGAGAAGGCCACAAACTTGATGAATGAACCGATCTACACATTTTCCTTTTAAATGGATCAAAAAATCACTAATATTCTTGTCAAAAAGACAATTAATGAAGTAAATGACTTAAAAAAAAGGTTGAGCTGAACACAAAATCCTTCCAGGAAAGTCTTCAAAAGTTAGATTTAGGATACGCAATGAATCAAATCTGCAAGAGCTTAGATTGTTAAAAAGCGCAGCTTCAAACAGACCTGCTCTTCAGGTCCTAGAACTGATTAACAGTTTATCAGAAAGAGGACAGGTCAATCAGATATCATCCAAAATCAGAAGAAACACTTATTTCCAGACTACAAGAGAGTAGAATCCACTTCTTTCCAATAACCTACAGCAAACCAGTTGGTAATAGATATCTGCCAATGCTTGCTCCTTTGACCACAAAAGCAAAAATGGAGATGGAAATAATCCTGATCATCAAAATGCAAACCTTCCAGCAACATGGCTGTACCTGCCTTAAGCAGTGGTCTTCATTCATGGGGGAGGAGGAAACAAATTTGCACTCTCCAAACGACTAGCTATCTTCCCACACATGCACCGTCCCTGAGCTCAGGTCACATGACCAGCTCTCTGTATAAAGCTCTGACATGGCCCACACTGAGCATGCTCAGATCGAGCTCTACTGTTCTACACGAAGAAGGAAGAGCAGAAAAAACAACAGTGCAGCCATTTCATGGAATGGGGTCTGGCTACAGTCAATAGGCTTTTTGGAATCTTAACCGCTGTTACTGTTACTCAATCTTTTAGATATATTGAAGGCTTCTGATTAAAACCAAAAAGCAAACCATAAACAGCACCTTTTTTGGCATGATATGTGTTCAATGTTTCAATGGTTTCTGAACTGGCAAACATGTGCATTTTCACATAAACATGAGTTATTATGTGTCAAACGGTTTCCTGTGATACAAAAAACTAAAACTTAGTTACAAGTCATCTATTTGAAAGAAAGCAGAAAAGCTCCTAAACTGAACCAGTGAGTCTTAAAATGCTTAAAAAAAAAAAACTATTAGGTTGAAGATGTCCTTTTAAAGAACAATGTGAACTTAATATCACAGTCTCTTACAAGGCGTTTCAGATATATTGTGTTGATTGTACAGATACATTTGTGGCAAACAATTAGCTGTTTTGAAATCTATTGTAAACAGGAATTGCTCATTAAAAATGTCCTGTGAAAACAATTAATTATTACGATTATTTATATATGAAAACCCCTTAGAGGAAACACAATGACAAAAAGAGGATGAGGTCATGGTCTAATGTAGTTCCCCTTGATTACTGCAAAGTAACTGACATGGGTAGTAGGGTTGGGCTATGTCGAAAATTTGGCATTGTACGATGTCTAATGTGAAACATCGAGATGGAAGACTGCATCGTCGTCGTAGCCGACGGTGAATTAATTATTTATGAATAATTAATACATTTATAATGAATTATTTGTATCCTACTGTTTCAACTACCTGACCTGCATGGTCTTTGTTTTACACAGAACCAAATCGTAAATAAAGGTAAGTTACACACAAATTACCACCAGTCAATCATTTTCATGGGACTCTGGCATGAATTTACAGAGTGAGCTGTGTCGTTATAATGGTGTCGACAAACTTGGTTGATAAAAAGTTACACAATTAACAGGAACCAGCCAACAGGATCTGAGGTTTTTGCTAAAATTAATAAGTACAAGAGTGAAAGCAAAAGATTGAAGCCGTGTACTGACGCTGTGACACGTTACCTGATAGATTAAAAAAAGTTAGATAGAGACAAGATTAATTAAACAGCGCCTCACTATAGTTGTTAAACTTGATATCTAGCGGTACATCCTTGATAAACTGTCCGATGTGCACTGCTCTCTGGGGTTTTGTGCTCAAAGCACCTGGGGTCCGTTCTTCGTACCTCGCTTAAATGATCTAAGATTATTTGGCAGATCCTAGATCTTTTCATCTTGATAACTGATCTCTCGCTAATTTGGTTCTTCAAACAAGTTCGCGAATCAGATTAGAATGTCTGGATGAACTGATCTGAGATCGCTGCGTGTGTTATGAAGGACAGATCTATCGATCCTCGAAATCATGATCAGCAATGCAACGATTGGCTGACGGCACAGCAGCGTAATGACATCATCTGATTAATATTCAATTATCCATGTGAGGAAAATTACATCAAATTAGCAGTAAACGCAAGAACTTTCCACATTTGTTGTGAGCTGCAGGCTTTACACTTTCATGTGTCAAGACAATAGTATTCATCATGTAT